AAGAAGGGTTGCGTTTATGCAAAATATATGAAGCAGGTAAGTCATCAAGTAGAATTTTAATTCTAAATAATTTTAGTGTAGATGCTTGAAAACTGTGTGAGTATATTTCAAAATAGTTAAGTTATATATATTATAATTATATAATAATTATATATGTCTACTTATACTAAAGATTAACCCTAATATGACCTATTACAGATGCTGACCTAATAGGATACAATCTTCCAAATGCATTCTGTAAATTCAAATTTCATTGCTGATGAGATTTGAACTCTTAACCTGCTGCTTGAGGATGCAACAACTTACCAAGTTCACTAAGTACTACATCTCTAATATAAAGCTTTAATATAATATATACTTGAATATACTTATAGATGTTGATAATGCATATAGTTACTTGGCAACCTACTAGTGACATATATATCTGTTCATATATGTAATTGGTTTTTAAATTGGCATTTAAATTCTTTAATTTCATATTAATCTATAAGATTACAAATTTATAATATCATTAATATCTGGTTTAGTATGACTGCATTATATAATTACTTATTAGTATAATTATCTATTATAACTATTGTGCCCATTACAATCATTACAACCTTATATCTATTACAGTAAAAAATTACAACTTTGAGATGAAAGGTTGCAAACTTCCAACTCTAGTGAACCTATTACAATAGGCAACCCTAATTTACATATACTTTTTAATAAATTTATTATTAGAATTGAATATTTTTTGGAAGTACTACAATAGGATGAATAATAAACAATCTGTTACCAATAATCTTATGTTCTTTGAAAATCGGCAATTTTTTTATGTAATTAATAATACACCTAAAGAGATTGCTATACGAAATATCAATGTAAATAATGAGAACTTATTGTATTAAATAGAATGTTATTTTATCTCCTCTAACGCAGTTAGCAAATTATCAATAATTCTGACAGATAATAAAAATTAGCAAAATTAATTTTCAGCTTAGCCAGTCAAATCAGTTGGTCAATTTTTTTATATTGATAATAATTTCGCGTATGAGCTTTTATCATTACAAAAAAATTGGCATACTTGGATAATATTTTATTAAAATTTATAAATAATTTTAAACATACAAGTGTAAATAGGGCGCCGATGGCACCCTATAACTTTTAGGTTCAGGTAAGGCTAAAATTTAAATCAACAATTTGTGCATAAGATAAATTTTCAGCAAAACACTAGTATAATCAATAAAAATAAGAAATCAAGTAAGAAATGAAGTTTAAATTCAAGATTACTACTATATTTTCATATTGATAAACTTCAGATCGGTATGGTACAAAATTTAAAATAGGGTATTTTATATCTAGCCCTTCACATAATGTACCGGTAATTCTTTCTTTGAACCAGAAAACATTTGAGGAGCGCAAATTCTTAGTTAAGAATCCGAGGGAGTGAATTATCACAGAGGCTGGCCGCACCTGGGCCATGGGGTCGGGTGAGTCTTTGTTAGGTTAGGCATGCATGTATATATGAGACTTACAGATTGTAGTTTTATATTACTTACTCTAATAAACAAAGGTAGAACTGCCAATATATATTATATCAGTACCTTCATATTTTTTTTAGGATTGTAAAAAAATTTTTTTTGAATGAACAAACTAAAACAATGAACAAGATCTTTAATAGCATTAATACACGTTTTGTGTTTTGAAACTGGGATTTTAAAATCAAACAGATTTATTAAAGCAATGCTAGAAATTATTAAGGGCTTTAATTCTATTTTCAAATTAATCAGGTTTAATAATTATATTAAAAGTGCATGCAATAAAAATTGATTATAATAGTGAAATCTAAATAAACCTTCCAATTATGAATAACTTTTAATATGTTTTTATCAGCACAATATGTGAGGGATAGTTTTGTTCAACTATTTGGTGGTCTATATTTTTTCTGTTGTTATTTGCATTGTGATTGTTATTTAATAATAATCTTTTAATGTAGACGCGAAATTGTAGTGCATTTATAACTTCTCACTGCATGCTGCAGTCTACATGAGCGTCTAAATTATTTGTCTTTGGCGTAATCTAAATTGGCGAAATTTTTTTCAACTGTCTAAAAGATTAGTGAAAATATTTTTGGATAACGAAATTATTTATGTATGATGAAAATAGCGAAATATTTTAGAATACATATTTTAGATTATAAAAAATTGACATTTTAATAAACACAAAATTTGCTAAAATTTTTATGATCGAAAAAAAGTATTTACATGTAGACAACAATATTAATCAGCACTATTAAGTAAAGGAGGACGTTTGATAAACTTTGGATTGTGATCCTTAAATTCTCGTTCCATATTTTTAGCAATTCGACGCATTCTTTCTTCAGGCGATGATATAACAACATTTTCCCATAACCCTTCTAGATTACGATATTCTCTTTCTTCAGGAGTGAATAGGTGTACAAAAATATTTCCAGAGTCAATTAAAATCCAATCATCCGAATCTAGGCCTTCAACAATCGGATAGTTATTGATGGATGAATTCGATTGATCTTCATTTCGGCGTTTTATGTCATCTTTTAACTTTAAGAAAGAATCACGTTATAATAAATAAAGATATATTTATTATTTTTATTATGGAAAGAGAAATAGTGGCATCTTACCATTTTATAAAGGCAACTCGCTGCACCACTTAAATGTCTAGCGGTTTTTCCTTCTCCAATTATCATCCAATCAGTAAAGTCGCATTTTTCTCTCACATCAATCAAGGTAATATTTTCTATACCTTCATCTTTCAAAAATTTTATAATATTCGAAGAATTTGTAAGTTCGCTCGAAGTATGGTTGTTAGGCGAAATCTTTTCTGTGTAATGACGAAAGACAAAACCCTGACGAAGCCCCAAATCCCTCTGACGAAATACGAAATTTAATATCGGAAATGACAAAGGACGAAACCTGGCAAAACCTTCATGAAATCAAAGTCAGACGAGATTTAAAAAGATCAAAACGAAAGACCAAGAGTTATAATTAGTAAACCATTTCCATAATATCAAAATAAGTCCTTACTATTCATAGATTTTTTCACTATTATTATAGTTTTATTTTTTTTTTAATATTATTGTTTTAGACACTCGATTGTCCAGAAAAGTCTAATAGTCTTTTAAGACAAAAATATGACCTCAAAATGCAGAATCGAACTTTAAATCTATTCAAAAATGTTAAATTACATTAAAGATTACGAACGAGCGATGCACCTAGTAACTTGGATAGAAAGAAGGCAATCGTGTGAATTCTAGCCAATCATATTTCAAGATCAGGTAAAATTCATGTGATTGAGTTTATCATTTCCTAAAAAAATCGGGCAGAATTTTATTTACCTTCTCGTCCTTACAAAATATTCTCTGTAAAATTGAATTAATAGGCCTTCTAACTATCGACTTACCAACCGTAAAAAGAATTCGTTTTTATTTAATTAGATAGTGGTAGTTCATCGCGATGATTTTGATATAATGATTCAAAATTAATAAATTCCTGAATGAATAATTTGGAAGTTTATCTAATTAGCGAAATTCAGTAGAAAAGAAGTCTATGAATCGATAAATAGGTAGCATGTTAAAAAATAAATCTATAGGATATATATATATAGATAGATATAGAACGTAAAATAATAGCATTTGTTACTAAACCCAAATTTACTATATATTATAATATTTACGACCAAAACAATTACCTACGATCAATGATTAATGTTACTTCGTAGGCGAAATTTAAAAATTATCTTCAACGAGTTTCTACTAAGAGATTACTTATATTTCGACGATTCTCAACAAGAAAATGAATTTTTATAAGAAATTAACTTATATTTCATCACTGACAAATTTACACCCACCAAAATTGAGTAGTTAGTAATAAAATTTCAAAGTTTATTTGAATATAATATAGTAAAACAGCCTTTAGCTTAATATTCTTAAAGCATTTTACCGGTACCTTCTTTTAACCAGCTAACTGTATAACCCAATAGACGGTGGCATATTTTGTCTTATAAGCAAAGTGTGTCGAAGTATGATCTTCGGTACAAAATCCAGTTTCATTCGTGTAGATCATCACAATTTCACTTGAGTTGTTTTAGATTCCTATAACAATACTGTATTAAGAGGCCACTTTGTAAACAAAAGACATCTGTCATCATAGGGAAGACGCGGCCAACTTCCTCATCCAGAATTATAAGACCTCGAAAGATCTCATAGGGTCTAAAATTACATGCCCTCGTCTTGACTTGTCGCCTTCATCGTCATCATCACTTCCCTTTCAAGATGGCTTGCAATTTGTCCCATTAACTTTCATATAAGGAAGCTTTTAGTTAGCTAGAAAAGGAAGATCGTTCACAGTAGGCTGTCCACCGTACGTCAAATCTGGTTACTTGACTAGTAACTTTCGCAAACTGTGGCCACGACGCGTTTCCAGTCTCTTTCTATCTTAATAACTCCAAAACAATATCTAAAAACTAATCTTTTGAACTTTTCTTGGTAAACTTCGTGTTGACTTTTGGAACATTAAAAAACATAGAAAAAAGAAACAAAATTTAAAGAATAAAAAACAATACAAAGTATTAAAAGTAAAAGAAATATCATTATTACGCGTAAAGGTTAGATCTCAGACAAAAGTTTTGATCAAATTTTATGGATCTACACGTGAGAATTGGTGATTTTAAATTCACCGTTTTGCAAAAATATCGTTCCTGATGGGTCATCGGTATTGTTCCTGATGGATGAAAACAAATTTGGTTTATGTACCTTAAAAGAATCCGATTTCGGTTTTTCATGAGAATACCAAAGTCATAACTTGCGATTGACTCATAACATTGATCCTTGATAATATAGAAAGGATATTTGTGTTGAAAACTTTACTTAGTAACCGAAAACTAGTTGCCATACGAGTTATTTTCGAATCCTTTTTTTTGTGAATTTGTATGTAACATATTTGATCTATAATCGGATTGGGTAATAATAATAGGGTTGCCAAATTTTATGCCACGTCTTCTATCAAGAATGATACATAAGTAGATTTCTTTTTCTATCCTATCAGGAACAGTACAACGAACTACACAAATCCAGAAAACAGTATGAGAAAGTAGTATTTATTATTTAATATTTACATATTAAGCCTTTATCTATGATCACTAGACACACTGCAAAACCCAACAAATTCAAGGATCATTTATCACTATTAACAATTTTCTTTTTGCGCATGAACTGTATTATGCGACTCAATAAAATAATCTTTGGCGAAAACACATGAATGTTATTCTGTACAGCCCAATAGGTAAGTGTATTGGTTTACTAAGTAAGGCACATGGGTGTAGGGCAGTGTTATCACGTCTATTGTGTCCAAGACTTTTTTAGATCGTGTCCAATGTCCAAAAAATATCCACAGCATATTCAAGCTTCAAAAATTAATATATTAATTTAAAAAATATGAGAGGTATTAGCGGAAATATAATGATTTTAATTTGACGTACAAAGTGCTGAATATTTTTATTTAAAAATTTAAGGGTGTTCTCAAGCAGCACGTTCGATGTGATTAGCTAGTGATTGTGATAGTGCACAACCATTATAGTAATATTTAATTAGGCCATCGTTTAAATTCCAATAGCACGAATGGTAGTATAATTGAATTACGCTCACGTGTCTTCTGATAAATTAAAATATTGATTGCAATTGATGCTTGAACAAACGTTTTTATCATTATTACCATTTAGCGATTATTATGTTTGAAATAAAAAAATGAAACCGATGAATTAACCAAAAAATATAAAAACACCATTTTCAACAATTTCAAGTTTTGTTTCTTCTTTTTCAGACTTTACTAAAGTTAACAGTAAAACAAAACGTCGACTCCAACAATTTCGGTTCCTGCTTCCTTTTTTTCAGATTTCACGAGCTTTTATATGTTACTGCACAACAAAATGTCCAACCCAATTTTTCTGAATCCTACTGCGACAAATAAATCAAATAGAGAATCCGAAGAAGTAATCAATATATAAACAAATTTTTTAAAATATATATGTTTTTTTGTAATATCAATAAAGTAATAATACGTATATAGTAATAATTCGTAATGATTTGTATCCATAATGCAAAGAGAAGTACTTGAACAATTAACTTTTCTAATCAATCAATGAAAAATTTCAGCCAATAAGCGTAATCCTATGAAAAACAAAGGATGTCTGGACCTCCATCTCTTGTTAATTGGAATGATAAATACCCTTGAAATCCTCCGCTAATTGCTCTTGAATGTGTGCCAGGTTTGTGGCGCAGATTTACTAAATTACGAATCAGATTTCAAGATCAGGTCAATGTAACACGATCAAGAAAATTAAAAACAGATGTCCGTTACGCTTACTTATCGAAATTCTACATAAGAAACCACTTTTGGTACTCTAACAAAAAGTTTTCGTTGGGCAATTTTACTATATACACTATCCTTCTCTAGCCCATAACACTAACCCTAGCTCTAACATGAACGAACTTTAAAGAATTTATGCTGCGCCATAAACCTGGCACGCATACAAGTAATGCTTAAATTTTTCTCTCTGACGCATTAAACTACCATCACATGTTTATTCATTGGAATAATAAATACAATCGATTCTTATTTATTTGTCCAAACTCACATCACTAGTGTAGTGGTAGTGAAGTGGAGTGACCCTTATGTCAAGCAAATCCCAGGCTGAAGATCGCTTCCGAACTCAAATTTGTAGATCAGAACCAATAAAATTACAAATAACAAACAAACGAAAAAAAACATACATATCGGCGGATTTTTGGAATTTACTATTAAAAATTCCAAAAATCCGCTGATATGTAAGAATTGCGAGAAATTGTAAATAGCGCGAAATTTTACTATGATAACTAACTTCCGACCTTTAGGTAAAAGTTTTTCGCATGAAATTTAGTTATGAGATGCATTTTAAAAATACCGGCAAATTTTGACGTATTCCGACCCGACGTTATTAGGCCGGAGGTTTGAAATTTGCTTGACATAAGGGTAAATGGCTTTTTTTAAAAAAATCGTCCATAACTCAAAATTTTGATTATAAAACCACTTTTGCATCTTAGCAAAAAACATTCCTTGCCCCTTCTATATCATCTTAATGCTCACCCTTACCCTAGCGTTAGAAGTCAATTTTTTTCATCTAAAAATGTGTTGACGATCTGCGCTTATTTGTGGCCAATGAAATTTTAGCGTATATCATCACGAGACCGCGAATTTTTATTATAAATTCAAAATTTTTTATTGGCATAAACGCAAAAAAAATATGCAAAAAAAAAAGAAATTTATACGTACACGCTTTATATATTCGGAGAGCGCCGATATATGCGCAAATTTATATCTATGTACGTTGCGCCTACTGCGCAGATCCAGTTATGTATAATATAAAACCGGGCACAGTCAATTTTTTTTGATTTCCAAACGGTTAGTTTTTGGAAACTTTTTTTTTTTTATGGCTAAGTTTATCATTTCAACATCTCAATTACAGAGGGATGGTAAATGACCTGGTCATTTGATCAAAATTTAAATGACCCAAGTCATCAAATAATGACCAGGTCATTTGGATTATTGTCATTTTATTGGTTGAATTACTCATATAAAAAGTTATCGAACT